CCGATAACTAGACCCCTAACCGGTTCAGTCACTGGGTCGGTTTTAAAAACCATGATCACTGTTATGATGCAAATGGTTTATCTTGATCAGCTGCTTTTCTTTCACTTAAACCTACACTTATGTATTGTTTCAATATTTTCTATGCCCTTCATTTGTTATGTACCAAAATGATATTCTTCTAGAAACTTCCGTGAATCTTTTGACAAAGGGTTGATGGATCCTATTTTTCATAGCTGAGATGCACAACATGGTTAAAGCATAAAATGCCCTTGTATATTTGTTGTGTATTTTGTCTTTAATTAAAAAAGTATTTTCAGTTGGTACTTACTACTTAGGGGCCATTCTTTTTCTAGAATTTCAGAGGGGAAAAGTTGGTCAATGGGATTTTGATTCTCATTGACCAAAAATCCCTTGTTCCTTTTTCAGATTTATGTGGGGACCAAGGAAAGTTTATTTTCCTAAGTGGTACCCATCTCCTAGGTGGGTAAATAACTTTCCCAACTTGGGGGAAAGTTGTCAACACTTGAAAGGGACAAAAATGCCCCTTGTAATAATGGATTTTTATGAATAAAATGGGCATTACCTTATTTACATGGAAAATAAAAGAACATGGGTAAATGTACTTACCTAGGTAAATCTTTCCTGGGAAACAATTACCTGGGTAAATACATTTACCCGGATAAGTAACTTACTGAAATGCGAACGGGGCCTTAGTATTTTACCACTTTATTCTTTGTTTGTCCATCAAGACATTAATCACTTGAAAAAGTTGTTATCTTAATCATCTAATTAATGTAACCCAAATTTTCAAGAAAATATTAATGAACTTCTATTGACTGACTGATTCCATGTAATATATCATTGTCAAGCTTGTTTTGCTATATCTATATACATTTGTTGCTATATCTATTCCAATTTTTGAAGCCCTCACTCAATCTGACACTTGTACCATCACAGTCAAGAACATTGGTAAACTAGAAGCATTATACAGCTTAATGGATCTCCATTGAACCTTCCTCTACACATTCCTTTACGAGTTACACATCTAAAATGTAGATATGATGATGATATATATTTTTTCTTGCAATTTGTTTACTCACAGAGGTAACCTTTATGTCATCCATGTATTGTAAATTTGTAAAATAGTATAAAGATAATTTCTAGGCTGAGTTTGGAAGGAGTATAAATGCAAATATGTAGAGTGTAAAATCTTATATTTTGTATTATTTTGTATGTATTTACCCTGTACATATTTGCATTTGTACTCTTTCCAAACTAAGTCTTAAGAACTCAAAAAGATTTGTCTCACAGAAAATTGAAAACCTCATGTGGTTCTAGGAGCAATTCTTCATAATGAAGCCTGAAGAGATTGTGGTTTGCTCGTTTAAACTGTACCCAACAACAAATCAAGTAACAAAATATATATTGCAGGTAATATTAGGAAGTACAAGATTAGTATGTAAGAAAGTATGAAATATGATTTTGTTGAAATGCTTATGTTTAATGCAGATATTCTAAAGGAACAAGAGGTGATGGAACAAGCACCTAAAGGTTACAATACCCTATCAAAATTATCTCTAGATCCTGAGAATGCTTTGATGGAAAAAACACGATGTAGGAGGCATCAAAAGAATGCGGCGATAAAAGGCCAAATTTTCCTAGGCCTATGGTGAATCATTGGTGTCAGGATGCTCAAGAAATTGGAATCAACGACAAACTGCAACTCTTTTTTACTCGAGGTCAAGCTCAAGGCATTCCTGAATGAAGCAAGATATGATTAGAATTCTGAGCATGTAGACAATCTGCTAAGAAAGGAGATCACATTGATGAGAACAAAAAGAAAAAAAAACTCAAGTCCAAGAAGGTTCATGAAACGATTCAACCAAAAGTTCACAGATCATTTAGAAAAAACAAAGGTTATAACTCCTAGTATTTTTCTTAAGTTTCTTTGGTATTTTGTTTTTTTTTTTTTATTCTTTGCTTTGAACTTGGACTCCCATTTAGTTTGAGGGTAAGGTTTCATGCCTGCATTCTATGTTTTATCATTAATAAATTCCCCTTTCTTCTTCTAAAAAATGTGTGTTGCCAAAAGCATAATAAACAAGTATATATTGTTTGGAAATTCCATAAGGTTGTTGTCAATACAAATTTAGTCTATAAATCCAAATACAAGAAAAATGAAGACAAATTCAAATAAATTGATTTCTTATATTTATGAAATATTTGAGATACAAACTCTTTGTATTTGAATTCTCTTGCAAAAAATATAGCAATTCTGGTTCTCACTTAATGAAGTATTCTTGCAACTTGAAAATTTATATTTGAATTGAAGAAAAGAGTCGGATCACGTGTTTCCATGCTTCAGAGAACATTAGAGATTGTTTCCTTCAATTGGGCTTGGAAAGTTTCGTCAAAAGAAGGATTCTATTAGACTTTAAAAGTGTTGTGGCTTTACTCATTAGAATATGGTGTATGTGCTGCTTACTTTTTCCCAAAAGCCATCTTATTTCACTTAGTGTTTTTCTTTTAACTAAAAGTCTCCTCCCTCTTAATGGGAACTCCTATTTATAAATTTTTTGGTTTAATCTCTTCCTCCCCTTGATTGGGGACTTGATTAGTTTTTCTTAACCCTTTTTGGAGAGTAAAAGATTATAATTATTGTCATTCTTAGAAAGAATAATTTATCATTCACTATTCTCTCTTCAATCATTGACTAATTTCCATCTATGGGAATGTGTGACTTGTTTGACTATTTGATTATCTCTAGTTACCTTTTATAAAGAAAAGAGTTGGTAATTTGCCATTTATGCAATGAATGATTTTTAATCAATTATTCTCTCTTCAATCACTGACTAGATTTCCATCTTTGGGACTTCAAATGGGCTCTAATTCGATTGTTTCCATAAACCATTAAGATTTTAATTCAAATCTGAATTTAAGTTTGACTTTAAAGTGGGTTCCATATAAGCCCTTCTATCATGCTAATGAATTTGTAAAAGTATATCCCAAATATTAAGGCCCATGCACATGAGAGTATGGAGCAAGGTCTAAATAAAAAGACCCACACTAAAGCCCATTAGCAAATTTGAGTTTATGGAGGCAGGGCCCATCTAGAAGCCCATGAAGACTTTAATTTCTACAAATGCCCCCCAAGTCTGCTAATCTCAGCGCAGGCTTGACTATTTCACTTAGACGACTATTAAGCTATGCTTTGCTTTCCTATTTGTGGCACGCCCCAAGTCTGCTAATCTCGTGCCCAACATAACTGGAAGTTTGCGATTGCACTTCATTTATAAGTCTAACTTTGCATGTATACCATACACTATGTAGTAACGATGCCATAGTGCACAAGCCTTGTACAAAATTCAACCAAAAGTTGTAGGTGAAGATGATGCCTCTCCATGTGGAGACTTATTTAGTTAAGTCCAACAATGGGGTTCACGACATTGGAAAGTAAGCATATGGAGAGGTTAATCTCGTTAAAGAACTCTTTCTATTTTACTCTTTTAATTTGTCTCCATTACTTTATTTTGTTAACACCGGATCCTTATCTATATCTATATATTAAAATGGAATGTGCCAATTTGGTATTATCCTCCTTTATGGATTCTTCTCAAAATCACTCTTTTCTTTATTTTTTTTCAAAAGCACTTATCTTTTTTCTAGTTTTTTTTTTTATTTTTTAACTTTAAAATTGAACAAAATAACTCAAGTACTGACCAATCTCCTTTAAGACTTTTAGCACTCCTCAATAACTCATCATTAACTCTCTCTCTCTCTCTCCTCTTCCCCATTAACTCTTTTAATAATCTCTCTCATTAATTATGTCATTAACTCCCTCCTTCAATAACTAATGCCACTTTCTTTCTCCTCTCTCCATTACTCCATTAAATTTCACAAAATTCATTAACTTTATTTATATCTATATCCATTTCAATTTAACTATAATTTTATATATGTTAGATATATTTACATTAAATTGTAATTATTAGTAAAGATTAATTATATTAAAATTGAAATATTCAATGATATATTATTACACTAAATAATCTACTTCCATTAAAAATTATAATCGATTTGAAAATAATAAAAATTATTCAACCATAATAAAAATAATTTAGTAATTTACTTAAATAAAATAAGATACATTAAAAACTAATATCAATTTAAAATTAATATAAAACTAATGCAAGATTATCTAAAAATTACTAGTTTTATAATTAATTTTTACTAATTTAAAGTTCTACTAAAAATAAGAACTTAATATAGTTAATTAAATTTCATGAGGAATTTAAATTAAGCAAAAACTTAATATACTTAATTAAACTTAATTTTTACTAATTTCAAAAATTAATACAAAATATCAATTTTAAATATAGTTTAATTATTTTAAAATCATTTAAATTCCATTTAAAAATAAGGAAAAATATAAAAACCTCCATGGGTTTTCTAACAATCCCATGAAACTCCCCAAAGTTTTGACCTTAACAAAAACCTCCTTATTGTTTTGAAAAAAAAGTGCAAATACCTTCCTTTCGTCATTGTTCCAAATAAAAAATGTTGATGCAATGCAATAATTTTACTTCACTTCAGCTTTTTTCTCTTACTTTGTCCAAAAAAAAGTACAAATTTATCTAGAGAATAGGAAATTGGCTACTCTCATTAAAGTGTGGCTTAGATTGTGATTGGATAAACTAGCCATAACTCAAAAAATAAAACTTGAATTGAACTGAGATGGTCACCACGTAATTGGAAATTTCATAGATTTTGAGACTGCCGCTAGAAGTTTTACTGGCAGTCGGCAAACTGCTACTAAAATAAGTGTCGGTAGAAGTTCTAGCGACAGTTTTGTCGACTGCCGGTAAAAATGAATGACTGCCACTGAAACTACTTTTAGCGGCAGTTGCAACTGCCGGTAAAAGATGGGCCAACTGCCGCTATAAATCTGAAACGTTATATATATATATATATAATCTCTTTTTTTCAAGTATTCCTGTAATCCAAGAGCGGATTCCATTATAAATATCATTACCTGCTTGAATGATCAGTTAATTATTTCAAAACATTAGCTTTCAAATGCACGACTTTGAAAAATATATACACTACAAAAGGGAATCAAACACCATTAAATATATCACCTTCAACCATCTTTACTGTTGCACAAAGACCAAAATAGTTGTTCACACGTGTCTCATTAAATATATCACCTTCAATTATTTATCCACTAGGTATGCATTATCAACTAAAACTTGTAGATCTTCACTTTTATTTTTTGCTTTCACAAGATCTAGATACAGATGGTAAAGCAAATGAAGATCTTCACATTAAATATATCACCGTCAATATCATAGCAACGATTGCAGTATATCAATTTCAAGTGGCAATGCAAATGAAAGCTTGAAAACTGGAGAGAAGAGGCCTGCTCAGAACTTGGCCTCTATGAAGATTAAGCGCCAATAAGCGGATAATGATATATTGGTTTCCATGGTGTAGACTTGGCCATAGACCACAAAGTGATCATCTGCTGATGAAATAAAATTTATAACGGTTAAGAAACATAACCAAATGGTTACAAGGGACACCAAGTTGACTAAAGAATATATCTACATACCTGAGTTCTTTGCTCATCAAGAGTGAGATTGCATTTCCTGTGGGGACCTAGATTTGAACATAGTAGTAAGAAAATAACTGAATTAATTAGTGTTTCTTTCAGATGTTATCAAAAAGGTATGCCTCACTTGTGAACCTCTTAAAGTTTGGCATGCTTAGACAGTTCAGGTCAAGGCATGGCATATTAGATAGCTAAAAGAAAAGATTAAACAATAATTGCTGCATAGTAGTTTAAAGAAATTTAGTTCTCCTTAATATAAAGTAATAACTAGGTCAACTTTACTTCTGTTCCAATGATCTAAGACCTGCTTGCTAGTATCTTGGCAAGAAGACAATAACACATGCATATTTGAGATTTTGGGTTGAAACCGACCTACTCATTCCTCAAGGCTATGTTTGGTTTGAAGGAAAAGGTAGGGAAACCTTTACAAGGTACCTTTCCCTACCTTTTCTTTCAAACCAAACACAACCCAAAGGAAAATGTCATCTAGGTCAGTGTTGACATAGAAAGGACAAAGGTTCCACATCTGATATTTGCAAAATTAATCACCTGGATCTGTAAGCCATCCTAGTGGTAGCATGTCTAAGTCTGGCCAAGACTTCCTTTTCAAGCCATTTGCTCCTAGCTATCATATTGGTGGCAGCAAAGTCCCTGTTAGAACTTAGAACAGTAAATATAAGAACAGCAGTTTGCCTTGATATGTTAAATGAGCTGGAACATGGAGCTTAAGTTGGAAATTTCAACCCAAATTAAAAAAAAAAAAAAATCAAACTGAATTAATGAACAGCAGTTTGCCTTGATATGTTAAAGTGAGCTGCCACTCTTTTCAGAATTGACCCACAGCCCTAAGACCACCTCAAACCATCTTAAGATATATTTCAGGCTCTCTATATTATCACTCATGGCATCACACAAAAACAAAGTAAAATGTGCAAATTACAGGCTTTCTATATCAATCAAAGTACTCACCCAATGCGAAAAAAAGTAATGCTTAACTAGAAACAAGCACCACAAAGGCACATAATAAGTGACAAACTGGCACAGAGTTGGCCATCAAAGCACCGCTTCCAGCAACAGCAGAGGGCACATGAAACTTGGCACCACAATAACAAACTCCCCACCTCTCTCTTCTCATCAGTTATTGCTCAACCTAATCAACCCTTCATGGCAGGCTTCTTTGACAATAAGAAAGCAATATTAATCCCCCTTGACAATAACAGGACAACATAGAAGAGGTTAAACTTTAAAGCTTGACCACCATTACTGTGTTTCAGTCATGAGTTTGTTCCCCAACTATAGACATCCCATCTGACAATGATTCAAAGTCAAATGTGCAGTAATTTAAGGTTGTCAATGAGTTGTACAGGGAGCAGCACCAGCTGGAGATGCCACATAAAGTTCCACCATTCTCAGTGCACTAAGAGCCACTACAACCTATTTATCTGACCCAAAGAAACATAAAAAAGTGCAGCCAAGTAGCTTTCTCTAATATAAGGAGAATTTGTGGAAGGAAATTGATAAGAAGTTTTCCAATTGTTTAACTCCTGTGTCTGTGTCCATGAAACACTCTTGCAACACTTCAAAAGGAGAAAAAAACTATAGGTTGATGCAAGGAACAACTGACCCAGTCCACCAAGCTATCATCCATGAAGGTTTGATTGTATCAACGGGTCAGCGCCCAGTAATCAACTCCAGCAACATGACTCCAAAAGAGAAAACATCTAATTTATCTGTGAGTTTGCTGCTTGCTGCATATTCTGGAGCCAGATACCTGTGTAACCATGAGTATGTTAATCTCCATAATGATTAAAAGCAGGGGAAAAACAGGTTCCAACTTCACAATCAGAATTAGCAGAAATGATAGTTGTAAGCTCAAAAGATAGGCTAACATGGCCAGACTCTTGATTTCTTGCTCTTCTAATTCTAGAATCTAGAAGACTACAAATTGCTTCAATCAGACTAATGCCTTTGGTGGCATATTAATAACTCATGGAAGTGCTTTTTTAGGGGGTGAAGAGAAAGAAAATAGGAAAAAGTTAGAAGGATTGCTTTAACCTAGCAATCTATTGATAAACATGCTTTTCAGTGGCCTAGTTCAGACACCTCCAAATTAGATAAAGGGGGCACATCTCTAACCACTGGTCAAAACTATATGTTGTAAAAGGGAAACAAGTGCATATTGATCTTAAAATTTTTAAAATCTAATGTGCCCAGAACAGAGGGGTTTCTTTGCTTTTTCAGTGACTGGAATAAAAGAAACTGGAATGTGACCAAACCAGTCTCCCTACTAACCAGGAATGCAATAGTACCTCCTGACCAGCAGTTGTAAAACCTAAACCAAAATGATAAGGTAAAATTGTTAAAATAAAAATACAAGAATTGAGAACTAAAACCAGGAACAAATCTCTGTGGTTTCCTCCTTTCCCTTCAGAGTTTTTAAACTTTCATAGTTGAATCTGACTTTAATTGTTCATTTCTTTATCAGTTGAATCCTCCTTTTCCTTCAGAGTTCAGTAACCATAAACTCAATAATTGTTCATTCAGTTGAGTTGTCAATAAAAATGACATAAAAAATCATTTCTTGGTCAGAAACAGATCCATATAACCCTCCCAAGACCCTAGATAGCTGGACCAACATTGGACAATGGCCTTTTTAAACACCACTATAATTGTATAAAGGGAAAAAGGAAAGTAAAATGGTAAATGAAAAGCAGTTCTATGCTACAAGCAGCCAGCAACCTCTAACAAAACAAGCCATATTACCATATTTACAATTTACCTACCCCCAAGTGCAGATTTCCCAATAATTGCTCTAGTCAGACACCAAATTTGTTGACCTATGAATCCAGGTATTCAGCCTGAATGCCAGGAAACCTCTCTAACATAAATCTGTAGTTCCAGTTTGAATAGTAATCAATATCCACAATGTTTGAATAGTAATCAAGATATAGTGCCAATACTTGATTGTGGGAGGTGACTGTTAGGTAGTTTTAGCTTGGCTAGACTCAAGAGACGTGGTCAAGGTTTAAAATGTCGGTGTTGGTGGAAAGAAAGTAAGGTTAATGGACAAAATCATAAGCTACATAGTCATCCAGTAAACATTAGGAGTCAAAATTACATAATAGAGTGAGTCCAAGTAAAATTTAAACTCATAAAAGTGCAAGTCATTCTAATAGATCATCCAATTACACAAACAAAAACCAAGTTTTAACTTCATGTCTAAAGAGAATTTCAAAGTTTGAACTAACACAAAGTGGTAATCATACCCAGTAGGCAGGCAACAATATTTCTACTCAACAGATCTACAATATCGTCAAATTATGTTATAATACCATCTCATATACTGCACACAGTACCAGTAGTTTTCACCGGAGAATATATCAATTATACACAATTACGTAAAACTCAAACTGGACTAAAACTGGAATGCTCCATGGGTCCCAGTTTTACTGGCTAATTGGGCAGTTAACCTATTCAGCCTATAAACCCCCATGAAAGCCATCATTTAACTAGGATCTGGAAAGGCCACTGGTTCCCTGTTTTCACAGTCTGAGCCAAGTTTATAACATTAATTATAGTAATATTTTGTGTCAGTACCCATGGAATGGAAATAGAAATATGTCATGAAAATATTAGGAAACATGTGGACATTTTAAACCATTGATCTACTAATTAATTCCTAGTTAGGGAAGCCAAATCCTTGGGCAGAATCCTGAATTGTTCATTCAGATGGTTTCCAAGGAGTGAAAATGAGTTGTTGAAAGACTTGCTAAGTCTGCAACTTCAAGGTAATCTTTAGAATGGGGATGTCTAAGTCCTTGGATCAATCTGTAACTGTTGGTTCATGTAATATATGTGTCAGTGAGATCAGACAATTATTTGTCGTTTGCTTGTTCTGATCCTGTTACTCATTACCTATTTGGGACAACATGTATTCTTTTATGTGAATGAAATCCAAGACTTACCTACCTCCAAACTAAAAGTAAAACATTATAAAATACAAACCAGGCCCTGGTATTCCACAAACAAGACTTTCCCTTATTACCCTTGCTTTTTCTAAGGCATCAGCCAAACACAATGGCATACTTCCCATAAAAAATAAGCAATTCTCTAGAACACAAGAAAGCTTCGTATGCATAGTAAGGACCCGAAATAGGAACATTAAAAATAAAATTAGATTCAATATTCTTGTTTAAGATTTTAACTCCATAGTGTTATAGAAATCCTAAAAGCAATATTAGCAGCCTCACGCATACAATGAAGTTTCAATCATCGAAAACTAACTTTTATTGATCTGTCATTTAATAAGTAAATAAAGAAAGGAAAAACTTGTTTGCAACTGATACTCTTCTGCTCTTGCACCACTACATCCAACCCCATGCAACTAAACAATGGATCAGGACTTCATGGATTCTTTAAACCATCATTAATATGTATATGTATGCATGCCTTCTTAGACAGTATTTCGCATGGGTTTATAAGGTAGTAAGCTAGGATCGAAAGAAGTAAGCTAGGATTGAAATTAGAAAAAGTTCAAGTTTACCTTATTTGTCAGAGATGGATCAACAAGAAAACTCTGTGGCCGTACTTTTTGGGCTAGAGATGTAAGTTTGGGCGATCCTGAAATCGAAAATAATAAGAGAACACGGTGTTCGCTCCATTCTTCCCAAAATCTGACAGAAGTTTCATTACTAGATTCTATAAATTTAGAGGAAACTAAAAAAATCTGGAGCACCATGTTACAAAAATATACTATATTTATTAACAAGATGAATTAGGAAAAAAGAAATTTTGATTTATTGATTTGTTAAAGTACATTACCTCTGGAGATGAGATAGGGGGTAGGCGTGCTAATTGGTATAAGAATGTTGATGGAGCCAAACGAGGGGAATAGGGAAAAACCTAAAAACAACAAAAAAGACAAATAGAACAACAATTGAAAAAAAAAAAAAAATCAAAACTTCTCTAAAGAGATTTCAAGAAATTGAAATTAATATAGCAGATATTGCTATTGTTGGGCCTAGAAGGATTTTACCATTGAAATCCCTCAAGGATTCTGCCTTCAGCCCCAACCTTATAAGTCACACGCGACTCCGAGACTTCTCACTCCCTCATGTCTACCCTAATTCCAACTTCCTACCTAATCAATTTTAAATCTGCCGCTTCTACTTGTCGCTGTCAAGGATGCCATCCGATTCATGCGAAGAGGAAGCATGGGTTTGGGCCCTGATTAAAACCGAGGCTCACCGAAACACCGATGCTAAACCCACACTCACCAGACTCTCGCTCGCTTCATCTCCTTCAACCTCAGCAATAAGCTCTGCTCCTCCACTCTCCTCTATGGTCTCTTCCTTAGCTTCTGCCACCGTTGCTGACCATTGAAAATGTGGGAATGGTTTAAGGCCTTAGGCGAGTGAATTCGCGCGCGAAATATTATTTGAGTGCACGGAGAGCTTTTTATGAACTAAATTGGTGGTGTATTTTTGCTTGGTGTTAAATGTGCATAGTGGCAGAGGGTAAAGCGCAGTCGCCATTTAGCCCCCTTTTAAAACTGCCGCTATTGAGAGCTCTATCCTCAACCCCATGCATCGCACGAGGTCCTGACTAGTACGAATTATGGGAGAGCATATCAAATTTCTTCTGTAGGGTATGTCAGCAAGATCACCACTTGGTTCAAGCCTCCTCTCTCATCTTCCCCCTTTTATTTGGAGGAGTCCATAACTTTGTCATTAATCGACTTGAAGCACAACTGCATCACATCACTTCACATCAAGAAAACCAAATACTCTCCATCTCTCATTATATACGTTGGAAACTTCTCACTCTATTCCCATAATAGCATTAGTGGGGAGGCAAGGAACCATTGAGAGTGTTTGGGTTTCTTGGCCTTTGAGGATCAAAACCACATGGTATTGACTCTAATCCAGAGATCTAGAGGTGAGTTTATATATTATACCAAGTTCTCATTTGTCCTTCATATTATTTATCTCTTCTTCCATGAATAAGGTTAATATGTAAGGTAGTTGCCTTATGGAATTTACACGTGAGGCTCAGTTTGGAAGGAGTATAAATACAAATTTGTAGAGTACAAAATCTTACATTTTATATTATTTTGTATATATTTGTATTTCTCCTCCTTCCAAACTGAGCCTGAGTTTCTTTTCTTTATTTACTTTTTAGAATTAATATCATCGACTCAGGGTCGCCATAACATGCTAGAATGTTCTAACATCTCATCATATCATTCCAAGATCTTGATTTCAAATACCAAGATGCCTCATATTTTGGGTTGCTAGGACAATTATAGCCATTTGATCTAATATTTGTCTTGGTTAAATTCTTCGGATGTTGATACATAGTTGTGCTTGTAATGTTTTTTTTTTTTTTTTTCCTGCTACAATAGCATTGAATTTCCAAGCCCATATCCATAGAATGACAATTGGGACTGTCATTCATAGCCTATGGCTACATGCTTTTACTTGATGATTTAAATCATGTGAATGATTGATGATGCACGATCTGGCCGGTCTTAGTTGTCGATGGTCTTGCCTCTGAACTGAGTAACAGGGACCTGAAACGGGAGGAGAAGAGAAGCTCCGGGGAGAACCCGGCGTAAGGGCTCCGAAGCTCAAGTTAGAATCCTTCAAAGGCGAGAATAACCAGATAGCACGAGAGTTAGCATACCTCGTCCCTGGGGGGTAGAAGCCCTTTATAACCACCTCGCGCACTCACTTCCAGGCCTCCGTCAGGTCGGGCATGATTACTTCTGAACTCCTGCCAGTTCGGGTGTCATTTCCTCT